GATCACGCGAGGTTAAAGGTCAAATGCAACTGTTTGATTACTTTGGCATTTGGCACGCGCCAAGTAGCGAGAGCCAGAACGTGGTAGGCAGATTCGATCGCACCTCCATTGTCTGGGGGAAGTTCTAATCACCAACGCCTCGCGAGATGTAGAAGCAAACATTTGACACAGCATTCGAGTGTACCGCCAACGACAATCGACCAAACGAACTGAACGCGTTGCAAGCAGTGGCTCAATGAGGTTTTCAAGACAGAGTTGCGTGAGGGTTCCCGTTGAAGTTTCCCGCCTTCAGGCTATGTAGAAGAGTTAAGTGCGCCGGCGAGTGCGGGACAGATGGGGGAGAACGAGGGAGAAGAATGCAAAAAAGGAGGATAATGAACGGAGCCGTTGTCAACACGCACCCTCAGCATGGATCGTCCCGGATCTGTGAACGTGAATCGAGGTGATCTGTCGGGATAAACCGAAGGGGCCGATGAATCTTCTGTGGGCTTCATTGGTCCAGTCGGGAAGAGAACCCCAGGGGGAGCAACTCGAGGTTCTCGACCGTGAAGGGGGTGTGAAAGGTTCGGACAAGAGTCCATTGTGCCACCTACTTTCACCCAGGATCACGAAAAAGGCAATGGAAACAACGAATTGCCTCGTGTATCTTCAACCATTCAACGGAGAGTGCTGAGGTTTCTTTGCTGCGAGGAAGACATGAGTATTCAGGGTTCCGCACAGATTGTCATCGCCTGAAAACAAGCTTGGATGGAGATGCTATGCGATGGGCATAGATCACAGTCCAAGTTCCGAAAGAAACTTGTACACCGTCGTCGCCATCCCGCATTGCTGCGACCATCCCTTTGTGTAGCGCTGCAATTGCAACGTGTTCAGGATTTCTGGTACAATCAGGGTACAATTTGAAGGACAACACGAAGCCGGAGCGATGTCGGCAGTCTGCGTCAGTTTCCCACGGCATAGGTCCTGGCGTTTCGTAGCGTCTTCAGCTTGTGTTTAAGTTCTTGCCTGACAGCATCAGGGGTACCTATTCTCCCAATTGCTTATCCTCCGGAAGTTGGGAAACTGCTAGTGGTTGAAGGAACATTGCGACAGCTTCCATATTCGAAAACAATGTCACTCACGAAACAAGCGTGCCGAATTTCCGGTAGAGCACACTTTGGCACCAGTGCTCGAATAATCCTACCCAGAGTATCGCAATTGGATGCCCAGAAGCAACAGAGACGGTCTGTAAAGACCCAACCCGCTTACGAGGGACACGTACCTCTCAACTGGTTCGAAACTGGTCTGCTTGCACTGGGCTCAGCATACATGTCTCTAACTGACCCACGACGAGGAGGTGCGTCTGATATTCCTGTGAACTTTGACCAGAGGTCATGACGCACCGTTATAGACATGGTCGCAGCAATAGGTGATATTACTGCTGGCCCTGTTCTCCCTCGACTCCGCGACATTATGTTGGCCGACCCGGAAGGCCGTCAAATCCTGAAAGAAAGACCACGGATCAATACACAGACAGTTGATATGAACAAACTTGCCCAATTGCCTGAGGGAAGCGTCGGACGGGCGTACATCACCTGGCTAGAGCGCACGGGGGTTACTCCCGATACTCGAGAACCTGTAAGCTGCACTTTCGTCTAGTGTTTCTGCAACCAACCTCTTCTGCAGGTACATTACGTTGACGACCCCGAGTTAGCATACGTCATGCAGCGATATCGCGAGTGTCACGACCTATACCACTGTATATTCAACCTACCTGTTCATATCGAAGCCGAACTCGCACTCAAATTCTTCGAGTTCGCGAACCTCGGCCTCCCAATGGCAGGTTTCGCCGCAGCTTTCGGCCACCTGCGCCTGAACTCGGAGAAGAGGGCCAGGTTGTTCCGCGAGTATGTTCCATGGGCTATCAAGTGTGGGACGAGTGCAAAGAGCTTGATCACGATATACTGGGAGAAGAGGTGGGAGCAGAGTACTGAAGAGTTGAAGAAAGAGTTTGGAATCTGGGACCCTCCTGCTGCGAGATGGGGCAAGCCTTTAAGTGAGGCGCGACTTGCCGCTCAAAGACAACAAAGGGAATCCGGAACTAGCTCATAGTTTGGCTGGCCCATTTGTCCATATCGGTATGGACACGTTGCTATATAACACGTCCAAAGCAAAGCCCTCACTCAATGCGACACCTAATGGACATTTTCCATGTGGTATCTTACTCATTGCTTCGATATATTGTTTTTTCTATCTCACATAGCGCATCATCGCCCACTATGAGAGCTGAGCAAATGTGTACCTATTGTGAATGGAATGGGCGCGTGCGTGACAGTACGTCTTAATCGTTGTAAGCCATTATTGGCTGCCAACAAAACACTCTACTGGTATTCACACAACCCAGCGGGCCTTACGCTCGCTCAGAACGCGTGCAGTCGCGAAACTCAAGAGAATCGACGCGTTCGTCTCCCCTTCCAGTGGCCCCAGGACGCGACGGGTTATGGCACGTGGGTGTCACGGTCACGTGTGATGAGAAGTTGAGATTTGTTGCCGAAGGGTCGAACGTTTCACCACAACGACGACGACAAGCATACCCTCCGCACTAACGACCCGTTCTTCTTGACGCATTATGACCCTCACGCCGCACGCATACAAGCCTAGGGAGAGCATACTCTCGCTCTTCGACCCATTGAATAGCCCGTCTACCCCAGAACGCAACACACCCTCACCAGATTCTTCATCGGATAAAGAGAACAATGGCCCAGGACAAGAAACGGTATTCTTCAATCGTATTTATACGAAAGCCAAATACGACAAGGCGCATACGCCGCGCGGAAAGCTGATTGATTTTGGAGATGTGTCGATGAGCGACACCGAGGAAGGGAACCAGACGGATAGAGAGGACATGGAGAACGGAGATGTTGCGATGGTGGACGTTTTTACGGACCATACAAGCTCTCGCCCCGCGCGTTTGCCTCTGGCGGACATTCAGCTGGAGACCATATCCCAACCATCGCCCACGCCTGCCTCGGAGGCTGTGGAGGCCAAGTCTCCAGAATGGTCCGACGAGCACGCATCTCAACATGTCAGTACCGCAGCACCTGCCGGGGATCCTCTGGCGGACGTGATTAACTCTATCAACTTGTCCGCCATGACCATCACGGACGACGACGGCCAGGACGTGTCGCCAACTCCAACGCCTGCAGTGGAAACCCGGAGCTCGCTGGATATGGTGTGTTCGCCTGATGCACCGCGAATCAACGTTTGTCCTCCAGAGAGCGACTCACGCGTCGCGTCCGTCGTATCCTCGCCCATTACACCGGCCGCCTCTGCACCCATGCGTCGGGCCCTTCTCACTACCTCCGCTGCCGACCCTCGGCGAACCTCCGTCGATCTGCAGTCGTCTTTTCGCATGCAACTGCAATCTCCGGAGATGTCCTTCGACCTTCTGAACGACAAAATCTCGTTCCTTGGTCAGGACTCGTTCTGGACGGGCGGAGATGACGACACTCTTGATCTCAAGAAGGAGGAAGCTAAGATGCTTGCCATCGCCGAACAATTCGAGAAATTCGGGGAAGATACTCTTGACCTCAAGAAAGAGCAAGCTAAGATGCTTGCCATTGCTGAAGAGTTTGGTAAACTCGCGGATGAGACTATCCCGAAGGTCAATCCTATGAGGAAGAGTAGGTTACCATTGGCTGATAATGTTTCGACGTCGTGCTGATGCTTGGTCATAGCACCTCCGAAGAGCTCTCAGCCAAGCAGCGCAAAGAATTCGCCCAAGGAGAGTAGTACTCCTGCTGCCGTGCGACCACCTGTCTTTACACGACCTCCTCCTGGAATGAGCATGGGTATGTATTCACATAAGGTGATGGGTATGCTGCGATGTTCTGACGTGAAATGTAGAAAATCCGTTCTCTCATACGCCGCGCACCCAAGCCGAGGCAGTCCCGTCGCAGAAAGGTAAAGAATAGCGAACTATTGTGCTAGGTTGGATGATAACACATATGTAGCAGAGCCTGCTCCTTCTGCAACCCTTCCTCCGGTAGCTTCTACGGAAGTCACGTCGGAGAACGCGCCCGAGCCAGCGAAGAACGAGCCAGCCCCCATTCGTTCCGTCCCAGCTCTCCGCATAGTCAAGAAATCCTACAAGATACACGATCGAAGCACGTCCGTTTCAAGCAACAGCACGATGTCATCCAGACGCAGCTCAAGCGCGAGCAGCAGTCGCAGTGCCTCACGCGCTGATACTGTATCTCCTGACCCTGCGGATGTACCTGTCAATAAGGTAGTGAAGCCCGCCAAAGCCAGACCTGCTATCCGTGGTGTACAGAGACCTCCTCCCGGCGCCATCCTCCCTCCGTCCAAACCGACCACTACCACCAAACTCCGTGTCGGTGCCACCACTACCGCTATGACTGGCGCACAGACTCAAGGAGAGGCCAAGCCCAAAGTTGGAGGGTTGTCTCGCGTGCCTTCTATCGCGTCACGTCTCGCTGGTCCTCAACGTCCCCTTAGTAGCATTGGTCGATCTGTTCCCGCTGGAGCTCCAAGCAAGTCTGCAGTGGGGTCGGTTGGCGCGAACAGCGGGATCCGACCACCCAGCCGTCTTACAGCGCCTGGTTCCCGCCTGGCCGCACCTTCCACGTCCAAGTTGCCTTCTTCTACTACTGCTGCGTCGGGCAAGGTTATGGGAAAGTACAGTGGTAGTGGGAGTAGCAGCGTTCCCTCGAGGTTTGGTTCTGGTTCTGGTTTGATGAAGAAGACCTTGTGAAGCTTTGACGTCTAGCATATTAATTGGTTTGGTTATTGATCTCGTATGGATTCATGTTTTCCTTTCTGTCCCCGTAGCATTGCTTCCTCTCTCTTCATTGTTATGACCTCCATGATCCATTCAGCATTTTTCGTGGTATTGCGCATTGATTCTTTGCAAGTTGTTAAGCTCTCCGATTTTATGCAAGTCCTGCGATGTCGGATCATTCACGTCAGGTCGCATATTGACACTACAATAACATAAGTATGGGCACTTGGCACAGTGGTAGCGCGCACGCTTCGCATGCGTGAGGTCGGGAGTTCAATCCTCCCAGTGTCCATTTCTATTTCCATCTCTCATACTCTTTTTCTACCAACTGCATCCAGTTACAGTACAGTAAGTACCAGTAACTGCAGTTTCATCATTGTTTTGTCTCTGGCGCTTATACCATGCATGTGCTGGTAATAGCGCCCAATGTTGTTTGTTTGTGTTTGTACACCGACCGAGGAACGTCAGACAGCTGCAGAAGAGCTTGGCCCATTTGACTGCTGTTCACAACTCTACCTTCTACTTTACTTGTGTATTCTAGATACCCCCCTTTGCATGATACCGGAATGGACAGCGTGAGGCAGATATATGCTCTGAACCTGTCTGTATATGACTGATCTTAATGCCAGGACCATAATACCTTCGGGCGAAGCCGCCAGTCCATGGCTGACATCGAACAAGAACTACATGACATCTTCACCGAACACCCAGACGCGTCGTACAACGAGAACGAAGAGCCAGTCCTGCCGGGATATGCTCTCATCGACGTTCTGCGTACATTTTCGTACAATCACAATTCCGAGCTCCTGAACAGGGAAGAGGAGGAGAAACTAAACCAACTCATCGACTCCGTCCCTGGTCTGGCTGCTACCCCTCAAATGATGCTCAGCTTTATCGCACAACGCACAACGCACAGTCCACGTCACAGCCCAGAAGACTCACCACCATCCGACCCGTCTCCTCTCGCTGAAGACAGAGGACGCTCCGACGACCCCGATGAAGGATTTAACAACAACCGCGCGCATTCCCGATCCTCAAGCATGGATTCGAATGGCACGTCAATATACCGACCCCGCAGCAGGCCCCCCAGTCGACCTCCAAGCCGACCACCCTCTCGCGGTCCACCTGTACCACCAAAGACGCCGGTCAACGCGGACTCGCCGTTTGACACTGGTCGGAGAGCGCGTGCTGCACCTCTTGCTGCTGCTCCGTCGAGCTGGTCGCGCCGTCCGCCTCCGTCACGTCGCAAGAGCGATGCTGGCAGTCGGGCTTCCAGTGACTCAGAGGTGCGTTTTCTGTGACTCACGACGTATTTACGCGTCGTTCTTCAACACAAATTCGTCCTTTCCTTCATACTATGGCTTCGAAGCTAAAGAGTTGGCTTAAAACGCGGTTTCTGAGAAGCGTCCCTCCTGGATATTTATGGGCGCTTATACGTCTATGTATGCGCGTAACGTGTTCGACGTGATAGCGGAAAGACACCTTTCACATGTAGAGAACATGCAAAGTACAATTTCTATGTTCTCTGCATGCCCCTGTTACGCGTTCTAGACTCTTCCGCATATAGGGAACATCTAAATGTTGTCCCCATCAAAACCCTGCGCTATTGTTCCTAATGCTTCCGTTGCCACTCTTATTCTACCCCTTCCCGTGTGGGTCATAGCGACAAGTTATGAGCCCTTGTTGTGCCACCCCATACATACACTTTGTTCTGTTCCACCATGTCTGACACTCCTCCCCCACAGTCAATGTCCGCTCCACCAGTCGCATACAGTCGCTCCTTTGGCGGGCGTGCTCGCGCGCCCTCAAATCCAAGTAGCCCTGAAGCCGACTCGTACGGCAATTCATTCGGGTCCGGCCTGGCGTCGCCACCCTATGGCAATAGACCCCCTTCACGTCCACATTCTCGAGCACAATCACAACCCCAATCTTCGTTTGCTCACTTTGGCTCACCCGAGCGAGATTATGATCAACATGACTATGATCCTGACCAGACTGTCTCGAGTGGCGGTCCTGGGCGAAGGAGTAATAGCAGGATGGGGATGATCTCGCCACCCCCTTCTGACACTTCGCTCGATGATGATGGTCAGGACTTTGCGAATAGGATCTCGTCTTTGCCTATGCCCAAGAAGTCCACTGGGTCAGATTCAGATTCGGACGACGAAGATGGTATCGAAGCCTCGTTGGTGCTTGTTTCTGATCGTACCCCTGCTAGTTCTACTGTGTCCTTGGATATGCAGGAACGGTTGGAGGCGCTGCAGAGAACCAATGCGGACTTGGGCAAGAAGCTTGTGGAGGCTGAAGAGACTTTGCAGAAGAGGTTAGCCGAACACGAGATGGAGTTGGAAGAGTTGCAATCGCGATTGGAAGAGGCCAGAACTGAGTTGTTGGCCACGAAACGCGAGGAGAAGGAGTTGAGAGCGAAAGAGGTAAAGCGAAGTTCGACGTCTCCCTTTTTGGTTCATCCACTGATGACTGTATGCTTTTCAGAAAACGAATTCGACGCAAATTATCGCGTTGGAGTCGGAAGTCGCCAAATTGCAAAAGAGTCTGGAGAACTCTAGGGCTTCATACCAGAGTCTCCAGAAGCAATACCAGGAACAATGCCGTACGTCAATCTGACCCCTCACTCTTCCATTCAGTATGCTCACTCGCTACATGCAGAGGAATCCGAACGATACCGTGACCTTATCCGTCGCAGGGATGACGACCTCAAGTCCGCTCGCGAAGCCTCCGACCTGAGTGCGCTCGAAGTCATCAAGCTCCAAAACATGACTCAAGCGTACGAAAGCCAAATCGAGCAACTCACCTCGGAGCTCGAACTCGCCCAACACGCCGTAGCAGCCCTCGATGAGCAGAAGCAGGAGAACCTGATGCTCAAGGAGACAATCGACCGTATGCGGTTCGATATGGATGAGATGCGGGCTGCGTCGGCTGCTCAGGGTGCTGCTGGCGGTGGAGGCGGAAGTGTGCGAGGGAGCGTGAGTAAGAGTCTTGGTGCGGAGTTGTTGGGGAAGTTGAAGGAGATGGAGAAAGATGGGGAGTGGGGTGATGAGACAGAGGGTGACGTTGATGATGATACTGTTGCGGGTGAGGAGGATGAGAGGGAGGGTGAGGACTTTGAGGAGGATGAGGAGACGGAGGGCGAAGATGTGATTCAAACTATTATTACGAGGACCAAACGCGTAAGTTTCCCTGCGACTTCTTATGGCATTAGAAACTGATTTCATTCTTGCGATCATGTAGAAGGTCGGCAGTCGGGCGAGGAAGATTGAGACGGTCAACATCGAGGAAGTCAAGGAGTACTCGGATGCGGCCATTCAACATAATATCTCCGACTTCACTGTCTCATCGAACACTCAGACCGATCCGGAACCCAAGGTCCTCACTGCATCGTCCAGTATCCAGACTGAGGAACGACGGGTAGGCTCGATGGAGATCCAAACAGAACCAGAACCGGTTCCGGAGCCTATCGCCACCCATAGCGTCGAGATTCAGACTGATGTCCCAGAGGAGCCTGAAGCTTCAGGGTCAAACGAGGAGGACGACGATGCCCTTGCTTCCTCATCGTCTACGCTACTGCCGCCAACCCCTAAGGCTGAACCCCTGGATCACGCCCATGACCTTCCGCCTTCGTACAACCAGGTTACTCAAGCTCCCGATGACCTTGCAGTACGCGTTGCCAATGAAACCCTCAAGACGTGGCACAAGGGTCTTAAGCTTCCCATCGAGCCTGTTGCGGGAGGAATCTCGGAAGATGCAGTCGAAGGTTGGCGATCTCTCAAGGAAGAGCTCGGCGTTGAATGCAGTGCCATCGACAAGATCGTCGAAGAATCCGTTCGCGCCACTCCCCCTCGTTCACCCAAAGATCCTCGATCGGCCAGGCGACGAAGTCGCTTCTACAACATCTACAATACTTACATCTATGGCAGTGGTGGAGGTGAAGACCGAGAAGACAAGTCGTGGTTGATGAACCCTCATTTCATCTTCTGCCTCGGTGCTTCGACTGCGCTCGCATTCGTCATCGGACATGCCATGGCTCCCCAGTATGTCATCCCCGGAGGGGCGACTTACTACGATCGCGCCGCATGGGCGAGTTACAATACCATGCAAGCTGCTGGTGAGGGATTCACTGGTGAGAGTACGTCTGCCGTGTTTGGGTTCCTGGGTCGTCTCGGAGGCGAGGCTGCCAGGTCTCTTCGCGGTTGGCCTACATAAATTCAACTCACACCGTATCTCTCGGTTTGAAGAGAGACGAGCGAGTGGTGGTATGCCAAAAAGTTATCCATCTATCGCTGCGTGTTTCATATGTTGTGTCTTATATGCTGCATTTTGAACATATGCATGCTTTCGTGTATAACGGTTGGATACCGATCATAACATCTCTATGGGTCTTTTCTGGTAGACTTATCATCACTCGCTCGCTCCTTTTAATCCCACTGGCCGCCACTCGTTTTCTGCTGTCTCTAGTTCCACTTCAAGCTTGCGTTTTCTTTCAAGCTGCCATATATTTATTCCACGCGTACTATGCTTGCCTTTCCTATTCCTCTTTCGCGTTCTTACTCTCCTCCCTCGAACGCACTCCAACAATTCAACAGTGCCATGATTCTTTTCACAAATTCTCTCCCACTCCCCACTCATCATGCTTCCATCTCTTGCCTACTCTTCACGGATGTTCATGATTGATGACGACCCCAAGTTGTCTGTTTTTCTTCTCGCTCGTTCTTACACACTTCACCTTGTGATAAAGAAACTCTTTTAGTGGGGTCAAGGCTTTACCTTACAAGGTCGCGGTAGAATTTGTACTAGAATACAGACACATGTACTATCACAACTCATAATGGAATACTCACAACGCCGCACGCGTGAGTAGGATGCACTGCAGTATTTTATTGTGTGTAGCACTTGCGAACATGTTGAGTAAACGTTGAAAACATTATCGTTCTCAGTTCTGTTTAGCGCTCAGGCGAGCACGTGAGCGCGTCGTGCGTGTGACCGTGCGACGCGACCTGACGCGACGCCAACGCGCGCTGCACCCAAACGGACTAACGCCAACCACCAGAGAACTTCATCCTATACTACAACTGCAACGTCAACATGGCGAAGCGTAAATTTACTGCCTCCTCTCATTCCTCTGCCCCTCAACCTGTGAGGCGTTCAAAACGTCAGAAGACTTCAAAGGTTGACTCATATAATGTTGACTCCGGATCTGAATCTGGAGTGCCACTCCCAAGTGAAGAAGGTCCCGTAGACTCTCCAGACTCTGGGATAGTCGCGAAGGTAAAGGATGAG